TCCTGATACAAAAAGACAGCTGCGTCCTCAGGTGCCAGCCCCTTTCCCCGCGCGCTCAAGCCTCCGTACCTCTGCACTTTACTTCCGCAGCTTTTCTGGGTCTCAATGTGCTTTTCTCTTTCCTTCTAGTTGTAGAATTTCCACTCCGCCAGCCTTCCTGTAGTTCTGGATGTTGACCGTCCTGTCCTTTTGTTGCGTTTCTGAAGTTGTTGTAGGAGGCAGCAATCTCGGTGTTCCCCTATGCCGCCATCTTAGTTTCTCCCCCTTTTTTATTTTTTAATCACTGAACAATATGTCATTGTTTGTATGTAGCAATTTATTTACCATTCACTAGTTTGTTTCACTCTTTAGCTAATATGAATAATATTTGGCTATTAACATTCTTTTTAAAGTTTTGTTTAAACATATGTTTTCAGTTCACTTAGCTATATAGGAAGGGAATTGCTAGATCATATGGCAATTCTAAATTTAGCTTTTTGAGGACCTACCAAACTGTTTTCCACAATTTTACATATACCCCCAACATTGTATAAGGGTTCCAATTTCTGCACATCCTCCACAACACTGGTTACTCTCCCCTTTTAAAAATTATAACCATCCTAGTGAGTGTGAAGTGGTATCTCATTGTGGTGATGTTGAGCATCTATGTGCTTGTTGGCAACTGTATATCTTATTTGGAAAAAAAATCTATTCAAGTCCCTTGTGAATTTTAAAAATTCAGTTATTTGTTTCTTGTTGAGTTGTAGGAGTTCTTGATGTGCTGTGGATACTAGCCCCTTCTCAGATACACGATCTGCAAATACCTTCTCCTATTCTGTGGGTTCTCTTTTCACTTTCCTGAGAGTGTCCTTTGATACACAAAAGTTTTTCATGTTGATGAAGTCTGATTTATCTGTTTTGCTTCCTCATATTCCAAATCATTTACTTGATTCTCAGAATCCTCTACTCTACTGTTGAACCCCTGTAAATTATTCTTTATTTCAGGTAGTGTATGCTTAATTTCTGACTGGTCCTTTTTCATGTCTTTGACATTCTCACTAAGATCCTTGGAAGTTTCACTAAGTCCTTTGAAGTTCTCATTAAGATCCTTGAGCAACATTATAACCATTTTTTGAAGTCTGTATCTAGTAATTTGCTTGGTTCCCTTTCATTTAGTTTTTTTCCCCTTGGAGATTTCTTCTTTCTTTCTTTCTTTCTTTCTTTCTTTCTTTCTTTCTTTCTTTCTTCCTTTCTTTCTTTCTTTCTTTCTTCCTTTCTTCCTTTCTTCCTTTCTTCCTTTCTTTCTTTTTTTTGCCTTTTTTAATCGAATCTGGGATCCCTCATGCCGCAGGCCGACGCTCCATCCACTGAGCTAAACCAGTTTTGGCTCTTCTGTTATTTTATTTGTGACATGTTTCTTTGTCTCCACATTTTGACTGCTTCCCTGTATTTGTTTTATGTATTAGGCTGAGCTGCTATGTCTCCCAAAATTGGTAGAATGGCCTTGTGTAGTAGGTGTCCTGTAGGGCCCAGTGGCTCAGCCTCCTCAGTCACCTGAGCTGGGCACTCTAGGTGTGTCCCTGTGTGCACTGTCCTGTTGTAGTTGAGCCTTGATTGTTGTTGGTGTCACTGGGAGCGATTTACCTTCAGGCCAATTGGATGTGAGGACTGGCTGCAACTACAGTGGGAGAGCTGAGATGCCTCTATGGAGCAGGACTTGCTTCAGTGTGGCTTTGGTGCTCACTGAGTCTGCCCCTTGACTGTGTCACTTATGGATGTGTAGAGTTGTAATCTGGTATGGTCTGAAGCTGTTCACCAGGTGCCCTAGCTCTGGAGCCTCTGGGAGGTGCAAAGTCAGTCACTGCCTGGGACCACCTGGCAGTAACTACAGAGTGATCTGCAGATGGTTGCTACTTGTATTGGGCTTGGAGGTGACCAGACGAGGCCAAGCTGTCTTGGACCTCTTATTGATAGGTATGGGGCATGCTGAGGACAGCTGCTGCTTGTTTGAGAGATTTTAGGAAAGTTTGAAGCCTGGGCTCGGATAGGCCATTCATATGGAAAAGCAGCTACAAACAGCTTGGGAGAAGTTGCAAATTGGATGGGGTGGAGTCTCAGGGAATCACCAGCGTGGAATGAACAGTGTGAATCAGGCTGATGGAAACTCAGATATGGCTGCCGGTCAGCTCTGCGACAGAGATCTCAGCAGAGGAACAGTGACCCCTGTGAGCATCCCTATCTGGTAGAAAACCACCCCCAAGTTCTTGCTCTGATGCCAGACAATCTAGTTCCTCCCTGTATGTCCCTAGATCCCCCCCCCCATGCCATTTCCCCATTTCTGGAGCTTAGAGGGAGTGAGTCTATGTTAATTTGTGTGCCTGCCCTTTAAGAGGAACTGCCTGGGTCTCCAGCAGCCTCTGTGTTACTCAGCCACAATCCTTGCTGGTTTTTACCACCTGAAGTTATGGGGACTTCTCTTTTCAGCTCTGGAACCCTGGGCTGGAGATCTAGTGTGGGTT